CCCTCCAGGGAGGGGATGGCCACGCTGCAATCCCTTCTCCGTTCTCCTCTCGGGATCTTGGACACGCACAAGTCTTCATTGTGCATTCTGGAGCCCCAGACAACTCTCTAATAATTATTCAGAGTTGTTTCATAGGGTCGAACCTCTTTGCTATGTATAACCTAGTGGATGCAAAGAGGAGAAGAAGGGAACTTCCTTGACCTGGAGAAACTTAAACACTAGTTTTCTGGGAAAGATCTACTTGAAATGACTTCAGTAGGATCCAAGAAAATGTATAACAAATGTATAAAGACTCGGGTGATTGTGGGACATAAGTAAAAACACCTGTAGAAAGTCAGAGACAGCCTCACTGACATGGAGGATGTTGTTCAGTGGCCAGCTTAGCTGGCACCCTCCCTGACACTGGAGGGTGATGGGAGGAACAGAAGGAATGGCCTTCCAGATCAGAAGAGTTGAAGCAGGATGAGCTTATGTGGGGATATACGTCTAACGCTGGCAACGAGAATTTATTACTGTTAAGACAGAAAATGAATGTCGTGTAATTTAGAAATTCATAAGTATATTGACCTATTTTGAAGCATTTTTACTAAATTAAAAGAATATGCTAGACTTACCAATGTAAAATGTTTATTTAATCATAGCCTAAATATACACTTACTCTCGCTCTAAGAGCACCTGCGGTCAATTACGCACGTGGAATTCTGTCACTGGGCAACTGGGGAAGAAGAATACAGTGCAAAGAGCAGGGGCCTTAAGTTAGAATTGAAAGGAAACGGAAGATTCATAAGATGACTCTTAAGTATCAGACACTATCCTAGGCAATTCACATATGTAATTTGATTGATTCATTCATCAAATATTTGACTGATGAATATATGCCCCGTTCCAGGTGCAGGGACTCAGAGGGCAACAAAGTGGTGGTCTTTCTCAGATACAGATAAACTCACAAGCAGACGACTTGTATGGAACACTTATATTATGCTTATTCGTAACTGGAATGTCAGAAATAGAAAAGTGTCTTATGGAAATACAATCTCCTCTAATGCTTGCACCAGTTCTCTGGGGGAAATATTACTATCTCTATTTTTTTTTTTTTTTATCTTTATTTATTTTTTTTTTTGAGAGATTTTCACTGTAGGGCGCGTGCACTCGCCAGACAGACAGAGAGAGACATAGAGACAAAAAGCGAGAAATCACCCCCCAGGGGGTATGGTCACACCGCAATCCCTTCTCCTCCATTCTCCTCTCGGGATCTTGGGCACGCACGCACACGTGCCCGGCGTGAGTTTTAAGCCACCGGGTCCGGGACATGAACCGCGGTCGACTACGTGGGAGTCCAGCGACATAGCCATTACGCTAACTGCTGGTTCCCCTATCTCTATTTTTTTACATGAAAAAACCTTAACTCAAAGAGTTGAGAGTTTAACATGTACATTAACAAGGTTACATGTTACTCAGTCAGGACTGGAAAATAACTCTAACCTGAAGTGCTTTCCTCTCTAACCCTCCAGAAGAGCTCGAATTCAGGCCTGGTTTTGTTATGAGCAAGCCAAGAGAGTTTAAGCATCTCACTTCACATCTATGGACTTCAGTTTTCCTTTTTGTAAGTGAAAGAACTGAGAAATGATATCCAAGATTCCTTCCCTTGCTGATGACTTGTCTGCAGTCTTCAGATTTGACCTCAGTTTAGCGCTGCTTTTGGGTAGATTGTCCCTCATGTTGTTCAATTTGTCTCTGTCTAAATACCTGACAGGTACATCTCACAATGGAAAGACAGTTGCTTTGATGAAGGTTCAATGTAGGCTCATTAATTTTCTAGCCTTGCTTTACTGATATACACATGGGCGCTGAAAAGTCCTGCATAAAGGTCTGGGAAATAAAATAAAGGGAGCTTAAGCTGTGTATGAGCTACAGCAGTATCGCCCAGCATTCGCCTTCTCCACATTTTGTCCTTTTTTACCTAGAGAATTTCCCTAATTCTTTATTCTAGAGTTTGGCATCTCTGAAGCCTTGGGAAATGCAGCTTTCACTGATGAAAGAGAAGAATATGTTACAGGTGGTTCAGGCCAAAGGATTTTGGCTTTTCTTTCAGGAGTCAGGTTGGAATCTGGGGGTGTGGATTAATTGCAACAAGGTGTCAGACAATATTTTACAAATAAGCATGACAAACTTAATTCAACACATTGAATTTATAGAAAATTTAAATCAGATCCTTGAAACAACATGGATATTTCTATGTTCTAACTGAAAGCTAAAATAATGCAAAGCTTTGCATCAAGGCAGTCTCAACTGGCAGGGACACGAAACATAACCCAATGCACCACCCCGACCAAGAAATGTAACAGACTGCTTATTGGGACCATTTGCAAAAAAGAATACATAATATTCTCTGATCTCTCTGATACGTATTTCTACACCAGAGACAAGTGAAAATTGTTTTATGGTTCATAAGGAATCAACTCCATGAAACCTGAGTTTTAGACTGGGCTGACTTGCACATGTGTGAATCCCTGCAGAGTCTCTACAAACAAGCACAGTCCTCCCCGGTGGTATCAGAGGCCTCTTATCTGCCCTGTGTTTTATTCCTCTTTTTTCTCCATGCCTTCACAGGAGACAAAGGCAACCAAAGAAAACTGAGTCAATTTAACGTTTGCTACGGTTCTCTCTCACTCTGATTCAAACATAGTACTCAAAGTGCTTCTTCTCCTTTTCTTGGTTTGGCCTGGATGAAAATGCCACCTCATTTTAAAGGGAAAGTAGGAGACCGTAAATGGCAGTGTGGTGTTGTGGGAAGAATAAGAATGGCTTTGGACTTGTGCCTGGCTTCAAATCTTGGCTCCTCTGTCGGCCAGCTGTGAGCATGCTACTGAATGTACACCTCCATTCCCACATCAACAAAATGGGAAGGATAAAGACTTGTTTGTGTGCTTGTTGTGAGAATTAAATAATTACATATCGTTAATGAATGATAGAATCATGAATTATTTCTCTTAGGTGCCCCAAGCCCGAAAAAGTTGAGAGTTCTCGACAGTAAAAAGGTGGCTGGATGAAGGGCAAGAGGCAAATGCTAGGGAAGGACACAGGACAGTAGAATCGTGGCTCCTGCTTCCCTTGTCACTGGAAGGATGTTGTAGGTTGTGAGCAGAAGAGCTGTGTGTCCCTTCTGGGATGGAAGGCTCAACTGCTATGCAAGACCTTGAGCTCTCTTCCCTGCATCTGCCTACCTTTGAGTGGGTGGGTGCTCCTCACCTTGGTCCTACGAGTGACTCCGATGAGCAGGATCTTTTACTCTCCCTTGGAGGACCTATAGTCTTAGACAAAAATTGATCTCAGTTATTTCAAGCCACTGATATCTCAATATTGGTTGTCATCACAGCAGAGCTTATCTGACTGACAATTCATCTTCAGAATACTCGATTTCCCCTTTGTGAAATCTGTGTATCTTTTTATATATACACACCAGAGACTGCACATGTGCATGCAGTAGAGGAGGAGAGAGAATGAGACACAGTGCCCCCAAATGGGACCTGCTCGTGCCCCCGTTCCCTCTTCTCCATTCTTCATCCCACGTGAATGGACCCTATGTGTTTTTAAGCTGCCGAGGTCAGTATTTGAACCGTGGTTAGCCGTGTGCTATCCAGCTCTCTTCACACAGAAGCTAACCACTGTCCCATGTGCCAGCCTGAAAGTCATCCAACTCCATGGTAAGATGATATCCGTCATCTTTCAGGCTTCTGCTCACAAGTTCTGCATTGACTATTTTTCTGTTTTGGCAATGACATGACCAAGAGAACACTTCTCAATCGCATCATCTCTATTTGATTTAAACAACATTTGTATGTTTGGCCAGCACAAACTCCAGTGAGATCACTCAGGTCCTCTGAAAAGCGGTTGCATTCTTACTTTATATGTAAATGGCTCTCGGTTTTGTATCTCTGGCTTGAATTTCTTTGCACCTGCAGATTGGGTCTCCAACCATTAATTGACGACTGTCTGGATTTCTCAAACTTAGACGGACTAAAACACGATTGATTATTGTCTGAGCTGCACCCTCCCTGCTCTGCTCTTGCTCTTTGCTATAGGTCAAATGAAACCTGTTTCTTTTTTAGCCTGGAAGACATGCCTGTCTCCCAGTTTTCTTGTCCTCTCTTTCCTCTTGCACACTAGGCCCTGGCCACAGTGACTTCGTCTCTGGTCCTTAAACACAGACGTCTCACTCTAGTCTCATTCTTTCTGTTTCCTCTGTCTGGCTCCCTGGATTTTTTATGTCATCTCCTCCGCATCACTAAGTTATCACTCAGGCCTCCTTGACTATCTAAGCTAACGTATTTCCTCCTCCCACATCCCTAGAGGTGTATTCCCTACCACATTATACCACAGCTACCTTCCTCACAACACCAGCACTTGTCAGTACTAAAATGAGAAATTATCTTTATCTGCTCTAGTGTCTACTGTCTGCCCCCCATGTCCCCTTAGAACGTCAGCTCACTGCAGACAAGGGCTCTCTGTTGGTTTCACTACTGCATCCCCAAGCTTTGGAAGAGTGCTTTTATAGTACACAGAGAGACTAATCCATATTTGTGATGTAGGCTTAAGTAGGCATGGGAGTGGAGCTATGCTAAAATTATGTTCCTTTTCCCCATTAGATCTTTGAAAACAAGGCTATTATCTGGAATATAGCAAGTCTTCAGTGAGTTCACTCAACAACATTTATTAAGGAATATCTATTAGGGTCTGAGCTAAAGATTAGACATAGAACAAGTCTTATCTTTGTCTACCTCCAAAACTCTCAGAGTCCAGAAATATTTAATCATGGTATTCATTTACTGAGTGTGTTTTATGTGGTACACAGTGCTGTAACCAGTTTAAGTGCATTACCCTTCTCCATCCTCACACCTATCTTATTGTACTCGGTAGGGTAGGATGTGTTTCTAAATATTTCCTGGATTTTTCTCTCTTTTTTTTTTTTTTGGAGAGGTTTTCGCTATAGGGCGCGTGCGCTCGCCAGACAGACAGAGAGAGACAGAGACAGAAAGCGAGAAATCACCCCGCAGGGGGGATGGTCACGCCGCAATCCCTTTTCCTCCATTCTCCTCTCAGGATCTTGGGCATGTACGCACACGCACCCGGAGTGAGTTTTAAGCCACCAGGTCCAGGACGTGAACCGCGGTTGACTACGTGGGAGTCCAACGACATAGCCATTACGCTAACTGCTGGTTCCCTGGATTTCTCTCTTTTGACACATGGTATTACACTTCCTAATTTCCTACTGTTGAGTGGGGCTTTGTGACTAGTTCTGGCCATGAATAATGAATCAAGGTGGCATATGCCACTTCTAGGGAAGAGCACATGATTTCTACTGAGAGACTCTCCAGAACTTGTGTTTCTTCTGGTTGGGCCAACAGAAACATACTGGAGGGAGTCCCTTTCGGCTTTGGCCCCTATGACATGGACAGTGAAGTTTCCTTGCTGATCTATCATGAACATTGATGTGATGAAGCAATATCCCTTTGCCATTGCAGGACATGGAAGGCTGGGGACTACTTGTTAATGCAGATAACTATGCACATTCTGGCTGATTTTACAAATGAGACACTTTGTGTTCAATGGTGACTTGCCCAGGGTCACTTTGCTAGCAGGTGGGACACCAAGACTAGATTACGTTTACTATTTATGTAGTTGTAATTTATTTTTAGAAGTTTATCCATTCATTTCTTCCATAAGTGAGACAGACAAACAAAGAGAAAAAGGGAGAGAGAGAGAGAGAGAGAGAGAGAGAACCTCTAACAGGCTCTTAGGATCTTGGTGCCAGGATCCATCCCAGTCATCAGCCAGCCCCAGATTATGGGCAAAAGCATGCCCAGTGTGCTTAGAGAGGTTTCTAGTCTTGAACTGAGAACCTTCCCATGTGGGAATCACCTCCCAGAGTGTCACATTTAATCATGGCACCATCATCTAACCCCAGTCACAGTATTTTTAACAGGCACATAATTTAGTTTGGACAAACTTCACTAAGTGATTTTTCAGGCAAGGTTGTATGCCTCTAGTTTCTCCAGCCTCCATAGGTTTTTGTCATAGGGTGGGCGCCTAGTTTCTCTAAATCAGTCTTAATCTGACTTCAAATTCTCATCTCCCATGCAGGTGCAAAATTCATTCATTCAGTCATTATTTGGTCTCTGCTTACACTTCCTTAGAATTTTAAGAACATTTCAGGTGCCATCTCTGGAGCAGTTTTGAGAGACCCAGCTGACCTGTGGTTACCTTGATGAGCTGCATGGCCCTGCACCCTTGGAGACTTTATCAATGCAGTGCCACCCCAATTCAGGGCATAGGGATCTCAGTCCTGGCCACACCTGTGACTCCACACCTACACCCCTCTGAGGTCCTGCCACCCCCTTAGACCTGGAGAGGAAGGGGCCTTCTAGTCTCATTAGTCTTCAGATCCCTAGGCTCCTCCCTTCTCTCTTCTCTCTCCCCTCCTCCCCTCCTTCCCTCCTTCCCTCCTTCCTTTCCTTCCCCCCTTGGTATTTACTGAGGGCCCACTCTAAGCCAGGTACTACCCTTCATGTTGGCGTTAGAGAAGAGAAAATAACCTAGAAACTCTAGCCATCAGGATGCTTGATGGCAGAGATCCAGGGAGCCCAATAATAAATAAAACAAGTGAGTGAATTGTACCAGGTGCCTGACATAGGGTGAGATGAGGGCTTGTTAGGGCAGATCAAACTCTACCTTGTATTTGGAATGAGTTAGACCACAGAGGATTATGGGCTGAGGAGTGGTCCGATCTGATTTCTACTTCAGAAAGTGGATGGGGGTATAAAGAATGTGAGCTGAAGCAGGGAGACCATGTAGGCTTTCTCAGTAATATTGGGTTGTGGGGAAAGTCATGATGCTTTTTTGCATAGGAAAACAGAAAATCACACCATGATTTCCCTGACAACCGAATACTTTGCAGTATTGGGGCGCCTCCCCCTTTGTCTCATTGCTTACATACCTCCAACCACTGGAAAAGGCCTCTCTCCAGCCCCCCAGAGAAAGCTGTGGCCTTGTCTGGAGGAAAGACTTTCACAGAAGCTGAAGGTACTTCAGTACCTGCGGCACTTTCTGAGATAGTCCCAGCTCAAGGTCAGGGGACACAAGGCTCCATAGATTTGGGGAAAGAGAATGGTGAAATGAGCCAAACATAAACACTTTAAAATGCTAATCATCTCAATGCGCATCCTGTTTTACAGATGTCTAGTGTCAGCAGGTGCTCAGAGTAGTATAGGGTGTCTGAAAGGGCAGGAAGAAGGGGTCAGGAAAGAAAAAAGTGTGAAAGGGAGTGAGAAAGAGAGTGAGTGTGTGTACATTTGTGCATGTGAATGTGTAGGTGCGTGTGCAAGTGTCCTGTAGGATTCCTCAGCAGGCCATAGTGACCCCAGTGCTCCCTGATGATGAGGCCACATGGGAAGGTCTGGGGTCACAGGTATCACAGTCCGAGGCCTCTGTGCATATGCAGGACACTCATGCATGCACCCGTGGTGGTTCTCACTGGCTGAGGTGGGAGGCGGAGTGCAGCCTAAGGAGCCTGTTAGGGAAGCCTTTGCACTCATCTTTTAACTTACAAAAGAAATAAGGGACTTTTTGCCTTTGAAAAAGATAGAAGTCCCAGGAGACAGACAGAGGCAAGAGTAAGGCGCTTCAGATGGTGTTGCCAGATAAAATACAGAATGTACAGTTAAATTTACCAGATAAACCATGGATATTTTTTCATATAAATATGTCTCAAATATCTTATGAAGCAAGTACTAAACATTGTTTGCTGTTTTCTAAAATTGAAATTTGAATTTTTATTTGCTAAAATTTGGAACACCAATCTCAGACTTTTTCTTTTTTTAATTGCCAGAAGGTATGTGTGCTTGCCAGAGAGAGAGACAGAGAGAGGAAGAGAGGGAGAGACAGCTCTCTGCCAATGGGGCATCGTCATGCTGCATCCCTCCTCCTTTTCCATTCAGTTGGGATATTGAACATCTGTGCACATGAGCCTGGCATGTTCTTCTTTCTTTTTTTTTTTTCTCAATTTTTAAAGTTCTTATTTAATTAAACAAACCAGTTAACAAAACAGAGAAATAAGGCCATAAACTGGGTTAAAAATGCATTTAAAGAGAGAAACTTTATCATTTTATAAAATCTTTTATTTTTTTTCTCTTTTCTTTCTTTAAAAAAAAAGAAATTTGCCATAGGGTATGTATGCTCTCCCAAGAAAGAAAAAAAGAGGAAATGAGAAAGTACCTCTCCCCCCTCAAGAGACGGCCTCTGAACTGA